ATATATATATATTGAGCCAGATGCAATTTTAAGAAAAAAAGCAAATTTTTCCTACTCATGAATCATTACTTGACTTGTCATGTGTGCGTTTAAGTTTGTAGGATTTTGATAATTTAATGTATATCAGCATTTTATTATTTTATTTATTTCATATTCAGACCCACTTTCAATGAGTCCGCAGAAGGCTCTGGAAGCCATAGGCACCAACCTCCAGAAACAGTATGAACGCTGGCAACCCAGGGCCAGGTATAAGCAGAGCTTGGACCCCACTGTAGATGAAGTGAAGAAGTTGTGCACATCTCTCAGACGAAATGCCAAAGTATGCCAAATTAACTGTCATTAATGTAGAGACAGGCTCATAGCCTGGGGTTGGGGGTTATTGAACGAACTGGCCTTTTTGCTGAATAAAAATTTAATCTAGGAACATAAAGATTTTTTGGTGAAAGGTTACAGAAAATGACCCCCCCCCCTTTTTTTTTTTTTTTTTTTTTTTCAGCCTAATTACAATTTTCTCATCAAAATCGTGGATTAAAAAAAATGACCAAATGATCTGTATTTTTTTAACCATGCTTGTCTTGACATTTTGGTAAAAATTATTATTTTTTACATAAAGCTCAAATATTGTGTCAGTTACTGTATTAATTATTTAAGGGTTAGATGCTCAAATTGGTAATTTTGGTATTCTCTGTTTAGACAAAATGAATACCTATTATATTTAAAGTTAGAATATGTTGTATAAAGGTGGGTTATTTGATGAATGGAGGCTTGAGAAATTTTGCAGTATACTATATTAGTGTGCAAATTAGAAAGAAAGGTTCTTGATTTGTTGCAGTCGGTCAAGGTTTTAGTTCTGGAGCAGTAGAATACATTACACTTTATGTTGTTCTCTTTGTTTTGTAGGATGAGAGAGTGCTCTTTCATTATAATGGTCATGGTGTGCCCAGACCTACAGTGAATGGAGAGATATGGGTTTTTAATAAGGTAAAATATAACTTTATCCCTTGTCATAGCATGCATTTAGATTTGTGTTGAAGAATGTGTGAACTGTAGAGAGAGAGACAATATTGGATTTTAGCATTAAAGTCATTCTTTATCCTTGGTACTCACCTCTCTTCTTTTTTTTTTTACTGAATGGTATCAATTCAATTTTTTTTTCAGAGTTATACACAGTATATACCACTGTCAGTCTATGACTTACAGACTTGGATGGGGAGTCCTTCAATATATGTCTATGACTGCTCCAATGCTGGCATCATTCTGGATTCTTTTAAACAGTTTTCACAGCAAAGAGAACAAGAAGGAGATGTAAGGAATCAATCTTTTCTTGTCTTCTAATGATATGTTTTACTTGGTAGAGTCTACATAACGTTGTACAATATTTAATATATAAAAAGTACTTTTAACCAATTTTACCAGTTACTTGAATCTGGTTTATTTCAGGAAAAGAATTTATTTTTTTTATATTAAATCAATCAATTTACATCGAATTAACAAAAAAAAAAAAAGTCTTTAACGCAATCTTTGCAAAAGAAAGCAATAATTAGTATGTTGGAATGCAATTTTTGGGAGGAAATGCAATAATCATTACATTCAAATGAAATATTTGCGAGGGAACCCAATAATTTTGACGTTCAAATGCAATCTTTGTGAGGGAATGCAATAATTTTGACGTTCAAATGTAATTGTAACATGATAAGTCTTGGAGTGAAAATTTAAGATTGTGTTCGACCGTAAAATATGATAGTATTCCTTGGCAAAGATTGCATTAGAACGCAATTATTATTGGGAATAATAAAAATATTTTTTCTTTTGCATGTCTCCGTAGTTCAGTTTGAAAATTAAAGAATAATGTCTTGCAGTATTAAAGAGTCAATGTAGAAATTACAGAAAACTTTGAATTATGGCAAATTTCATTTTTACAGGATGTGTTGACATAGAATCTATGACTTTTGTACTGAAAATTTGATAAACAGTAAATCTAAACAGTGTTAGAAGTTGAGAAAAAGGTTGGCAATCCTTTAAATAAATATCATAAAATTTTTTTCTTACAATCTTTCTAGACTAGTTCTCGACAATCTGCTGCCAACAACAATTTTAGTTCACCATCAACCATGTTGTCTGCAGCGGCAGTGAAGAGCTGCATACAGCTGGCAGCCTGTGGGCCAACAGAGCTCCTGCCTATGAACCCAGAACTTCCAGCCGATCTTTTTACTTCCTGTCTAACTACTCCCATCAAAATTGCCCTTAGATGGTAAAGCTATATGTACATGTGCACATACTCAAACTGTGTGTGTGTGTGTGTGTGTATGTGTGTGCATGTGTGTGTGTGCGCGCATGTGTGTGTGTCTAAGAAAGAGAGATGTAAAGAAAATACAAGTTAGTAGGTTTTAGCAGATATGTCAGCCTTACACCACTATTTGATTGCAGCTATTAACATGCTCCATAAAAGTATGTTGATGACCCAATCTTTTTAATAAATAAATAAATCTAAATTTTACAGGTACATTGTTTTTCTAAATCTAAAATTCTTAAAATTAGAACATATTAACCATTAAAATACATAACTATTATACACAGTAAAGGCACCACAAAGACTACAGAAATATAATTTTTCATGATTCCCAAAGCTTGATGATTTTAGCAATTTGATAAGATCAAGTAATTACCATATTATTTATGCTAGGATAGAAAAAAAAATACTATAAGTAGTTTTATGAGTGCCAGTTATAAAGTTATTACAAGATGTAAATAATGTGAATGTAAGGCAGTACTCTATGTACATTTATGATGACGTGTTATTAATGCTGTTTCACATTGCTGTCTTCCAGGTTTGTATTACAAAACACAGCCAAACTAGTGCCTAGTATATCTATGGAGCTAGTTGACAAGTAAGTATACAATCAATAATTTATGTGATGGAGAAAGTAAATTGCTCCATATTTACTTGTAAGTACATATGTGGTATACCTGTTTAAGTGCTGAATCTAGAGTTTAAACTGAGTCTGTTTCTTCTGGTGGAAATTCATCTGTGTTTTGTTGATCATGTTATAAGATTTAACTTTTCATTGCATTGTAACACAAAGTGAGGAACGTCATGGAGTGACCGAAAGCTCTGTTAGTTTAGTGTAGAAATTGGAAAGTTTAATTTTAAAACATGAGCCTGATTCTCCTTTTTAGAAATCTATTTACATTCCTTGTGTGATGTAGGGACTGCCTGCTATGTCCTTCTGTCTCTTAAAATAAAGGTGTGTGTTCTGTATATAATGATGCATTTCAACTTGATAATTGCTGTACTTCCTGCAGGATTCCAGGCCAGTTGAATGACCGTAGGACTATGCTTGGAGAGCTGAACTGGATATTTACTGCAATAACTGATACAATAGCTTGGAATGTCCTTCCTAGGGGTAAGGCATTTCATAAGAATTTTTTTTTCTTGATCATTTGTTAAAGTGTGTAAATGCATGTTTAGGTTTACAGTGAACTTTACAGGTTATTGACAATATTTGTAAGAGGCAGTTATGAGGAGGGAAAAATATCTTGTAGTTAGAGGTCTCAGGCCTGAATGAATATTTGTTGCATACTCCATTCGCAAACAGATATAATAATTTCAAATGTTAATTTTTTTTTTCAGAGTTGTTCCAGAAACTGTTTCGCCAGGACCTCCTCGTGGCAAGTTTATTCCGTAACTTTCTGCTGGCAGAGAGAATCATGAGAGCTTATAATTGCACCCCTGTCTCGGCGCCCAGGCTGCCTCCTACCTACCAACACCCAATGTGGTGAGTGCTGTTTTAGTAAATTTAATGTCAGAATCGTTTGGCACACACTGGCTTACAAAATGTTTAAGAAATGTATTTAAGAAATTGTCAAGGACTAAACAGTATTTATTTATTTATTTATTTATTTTTTGTCGATTCACTTTTGATTTGGACAAAAATGCTTATAGGCTTGATGCTAGTAATATCGTGTAAATGTCTATCAAAACTTTCAACTTGTGCTTTCAAAGTTCAGGTTTATACTTTGAATTAACACTTAGGTTGGGAGCACAAGGCAGATGTTAGTCTTTATGCTTGAGACCAGTGAACAATAAAATGGATGTCTCTTATTATGTCCTTATCTTTTAAAATGGTTAAGGTGATACTTAGGTTAGTTGGCTGGCCTCAATGGTTATAGAGAGGGATATAACTTTTATTTCTTTACTTGTGATTATAATATAATTAAGTCTAAATATAAGATAAATATATGATAAGTTTAACAGAAGTTCAACATGAGGACAATTCACCATTTGCTCCTGTATCCCTATCTAAGACTGTATTTCTCCCATCAAGGCAAGCATGGGATCTGGCACTAGACTTGTGTCTGTCACAACTGACGGGGATTTTGGATGAAAGCAGCACATTTCAGCACAGTCCGTTCTTTGCGGAGCAGCTCACAGCATTTCAGGTGTGGCTGTCATATGGATCAGAGCTGAGGAGTCCACCTGAACAACTTCCCATTGTGCTTCAGGTAAGCCTAGAGGACTTCAGCTGACCCCATAAGGTCTTATGTTGTACACTGATACGTTCGATCACAAATAAAACATTTTAAGCCTAAACTTAACAGAGTTGTATATATTGTAACAGTTTTACCTCTTATTTGGTCATCATCATAGGTATTTAGAAGACAGAAGACTTTTGAATCCTGTAGCTTGTAGGCGTTACTTTGTCCTTAATGATAAGATGTTAAAAAACAAAGGTTCTCAGTTACTTAAAGAATCACTAATTGAAAAACTAATTAGTAATTGATTTTGTGTACTTTGAGAACTCCAAAATTTGCAAAAAAAAAGATTTTAGTTACTTTGAGAACAGTATGGTTGACGGTTCTTGTGATGATAAGCAAAACAGAACCTTATTCCTTTATTAGCTTTTATAACAGGGAAAGAATTTGAAATGTTTATTTATTTCAAACATAAATCTATGTTAATATTCTGCTAGGTATTGCTGAGTCAAGTCCATAGACTACGAGCTCTGGATCTCTTGGGAAGGTTTCTGGACCTGGGTTCGTGGGCAGTCAGTCTTGTAAGTAGACCTGCTTATATTGAAATACGTATGCAAGTAATGAGTCAGTAACCATTAAACCAGGGCAGGTTTCTAGAAAGTGTTTAAAAACTAATGATTTGAGTACAGTCACCAAGTTTCCATTTAATGCATGGCAAATTTTGCAAACACCCATCATTACCCATGTAACAAATGGTATGTAAAATAGGATCTTGTACTTGCAAAGACATTTTTCTTGTATCTTCAACCATTTGTTTTAAATGAATCACTTAAAATTTATAATGTATTCTTGTTTATTTACCATGTTTACTCTCTAAGTCTGTGATCAAAATGGTTAATTATACTGTAATTTAAACAACTTTTTTTTCACTTCTAGGCCTTGTCAGTTGGTATATTTCCCTATGTGCTAAAACTACTGCAGAGCTCAGCTAGGGAGCTGAGGCCACTGTTAGTGTTCATATGGGCCAAGATATTAGCTGTGGACAAGGTGAACATTGGATAGTGAAGTCTGTAGAAAATAACAAAGAATAAACACGATGTTACTACATTTATAACCTGCTACAGTACCAGATGGCAGTGACAATGAAGATAAGATTTATACGAAAAAAAAAAAAAAAAAAAAAAGGCTATTTACTGGCCAGTCATCCAACTAGTGTGTTTGTCATCTTTTTTTCCAGTCTTGTCAAGCAGACCTTGTAAAGGATAATGGCCACAAATATTTCCTGTCAGTTCTAGCAGATCCCTACATGCCAGTAAGTACAAAGTCCTGCAAATGGGCTTGCATATGCAGATGCTTAATATGAAAATGCTTGGAGATTTTCTTTCAAAGTTAGTCATCTTTTTGATATATGTATGCAATTAATGTTTACAAATTTATGTAGAATTTAAAATGTATAAACATGGTGGTAACTTATGTTAAGAGATCAAAGACTTGTTTCAAATTGTTTACATATTGCAACCTCTGTATGCATTATATGATATTTACAGGATAGAAAAGGGGATTTGAATGCAAGAAATTTGTGCCTGTCTCAATGTAATTCTTTTTGTATATTGGATTTTTTTGCTTTCCAACGGAGACAGACTATCAATGAAATATGGTTTGTAGATAATTGAAATATGTATGAACTATGATGATAGAATTTTATTGATACCCAGAGGTCTGTGATGTTAGCATTGGCCCCATGCTGCAATGAAATTTTTAAAATTTAATCAGTTGCTAGCCAAGTTTCTACTTTGTCATCTGGCATCCCAAGGAGCCAGGTAAAAAGTTTTTGGCTTAGAGTCAGACTGACAAAGTAATGAAGTTTTTGTAAATTTAAGGCAGAACATCGAACCATGGCAGCATTTGTCCTGGCAATGATAGTGAACAAGTACCAGCCTGGCCAGGTAAAACAACACGGTGTACAGCTAGAATAATAAAATAATATGTTATGTTGTTATGTCAGTATGCATATACACTATGCTGATAACGGCCATGGTAGTGTATTTGATCATTAATTCAATAACATTGTTACTACACCTTGGCTTTTAGTATCTAGTCTGTTGTGTCATTTGTCTTGTTTTGATTCTTCACAAATTATTCTTGATTCATTATCATGGAAGCTTTTCCACTTGCAGGAAGCCGCTATGCAGGGGAATTTGATCTCTATCTGCCTGGAACAGCTGGACAGTTCCAATGCACAGCTAAGACAATGGCTGGCACTGTGCCTGGGCAAGGTGGGCTATGACTAACCGCAGATAAGAAAAAAAGCAAATATATTATGTTTAGTATTTCTGGTGTTATGTATTTAAAATATAAAAGGTGAAATTTTTAAACTGAGCATTTCTTTTTTAGTATTTTAAGTGTCGCTGACACGGTTACAGATTTGTAGTCCGAACATCAATGTGTTTGTTATTATTATTATTATTATTATTATTATTATTATTATTATTATTATTATTATTATTAGATCTGGACCAACTTCAGCGCAGCCAGGTGGTGTGGAGTGAGGGACAGTGCCCATGAAAAACTGTATACTTTACTGAATGACAAAACCCCAGAGGTGAGGACAGTGTAGTACAGGCCAGACAGAGGGAGGGCACTTATTGTGGTAGAATGGTGGATAAAAACACATGTTGTGTCTATTTGTAAACAAAATCTTGGGTACCTTTTTAACCCATAAAATTAGGGATGATATTTTCTGACTACCGGCAGATCTGTGACTTTTTGGGAGCCAAAATGATGATTGGCCTAGGTGCCCCCTGGACCTCGGGCCATTTTTTTCCCACTAAATGGCAGTTTTATCTCTGTAGGTTAAGGTAGATATTTAGATGTTGTGGACCTAGATGAATATGATGTACTAGTGAAAACATGCAATCTTACTGTAGTCCACTCAGCATGCACATGGTCAACTAGCCAGTGTTTTTTTCACTTGATATAACACATGTTAAAAGTTAAGGTATGTGTTAAGGTTTGACAGTTTTTGCATGCAAGACTGATGAAAGCCTCCTAGTAATAGTGCTCTGATTCTTATCAGGTGCGGGCTTCCACGGTCTATGCACTGGGCACTTTCATCACCAGCACCCATGAGAGGACAGACCACGCTAACAATGTGGATCACAATGTCGGGATGATGCTTCTTACCATTGTACAAGATGGAAGCCCACTGGTCAGAAAGGTAGGGGTCTCATTCTGGTGTGACATTGATATTATTTTGTAATCTTCAGACAAATAACTAATTTTCAAAAGATCGGTCGCCGTGATAGAGTTTGAAAAATTATGTTGTTTTAAATTTTTTACCATAGCTGAAGATACAGTTTTTGATATGTTTGAAATCATTCTCCATTGCAAGGAAAAGAGAAATGTGTAAAGAAGAACTTGTTAAGTTTTCTCTGCTCCTCTTACCCAGTGATCTTACCAGCCTTTTTGGTTTAGATATA